AGTCTTATGGCACTAGTTTTTGGAAAGGAATAATGGTCCAGCTCCCACTGTTTCAGCAACATGTTTCCTTTAAGGTGGGGGATGGAAATAGGGTCTCTTTCTGCAATGATATTTGGTGTTCAGATCAGCCTCTGGAAGAAGTGTATCATCCCCTTTTTTCATTATCTGTGAACAAGGAAGGTGCTGTTAAAGTGTTCTTTGAGCTGATTAATGGCCAGGTGGTGTGGTTCCCAGATTTCGTAGAAATCTAAGTGACTGGGAGGTGGATCTCTTGGGAGGGCTGTTAAGCAGTTTGCTTGCTATCCAACCTAATCCTAATTCCAGGGATGTCAAGCTGTCGACAAAAGGGAAGCAAGGTCGGTTTTCAGTCAGTTGTTGCTACAAGGTTTCTTTTGGTGAAGGCGAACAAGTCCCGTGATTCTGGTTGTGAAAGGTTCAGGTTCCTTCGAAGATCAAGTTCTTTGTCTGGTTTGCTGTTAGGGATAGGGTCCAGTCTGCTGAATATCTGCTGAGATGTGGAATGGAGCTGGATGCCACCTGTAGCCTGTGTGGGGAAGGATCTGAATCCATCCACCATCTTTTGATTCACTGCACCTATACCTATCAGGTTTGGTGTCATTCTGTTGGGACCCAAATACTCCCCCCGAACCCAACAATGGGAGTGGAGCAGACCACCACCCATCAGCAGTTCACAAGGAGGCAGAAAGAACATGCGACAGAGCCCCAGAGTTAGTTACACTCAGAGTTGGTTACTCTGCCGTCAGAGGATATTCCCTCTATGATTACACCTGTAGGCCAGCTATATAAGGCCATACTCATATAATGAAAGGTGTGAATGAATATCCCTTCGTTTTTCTCTCACTGGGTCCCTCCTTTTTTCCTACCTTCCCTTCTCTTCTTCCCCTCCATCTTCTGTTTCAGGAGGTTAAGCCACCCTCCAAGGGGCTTCCAAGGTGAGCGGTATCTCACCACATTCTTTAGGTCATTCCAATGCAGTGGAAGTGGGGAGGAATAGCCTGCCTTTTGCAGTTTTTTGAGTGGTGTGGAAAGAGCGCAATCAAAGGATTTTTTAGTCTAAATCCAATGCAGTGGAGGTGGTCCTAGGGAAGGTGGAAAGGTTGCTTGTGATCTGGGCCAGGTGCTCGAAGTTTTTTTTTTTTTTTTTTGTGGATGTGCCTGCCATCTCTTTCTGTGATCATTGGTGTTCCATCATCTTTTTGAGTTTTCTTTCAGAAAGCTCTCATTGTATCATAGTTGTCAAGGTGACACCTAGGCGACAAGGCGCCCTTTGAGGCTTGCCTCGCCTAATCGCCTAACAATTTTCTACTTCCTACTATAAAATACTTTTTTATTCATTCTTTTTTGAGATTATAATTATAAAATAGACATTATTAAACTAAAATAATCATTTTGTGTGTTTACATACTAATTTCTTTTTATCATTTTCTTACTTATTAGGGTTTAATCAACACAAACATTGCTAAATGCTGTATTGAATCCTCAAAGACTTAAAAACATGAACCAATAAGTAAGGAAGAACTAAAAATTTTATCTAATCAGCACATTTTCCTCTTCTTCTTCTTCTTCTTCTTCTTCTTCTTCTTCTTCTACTACTACTACTACCAATACTTTTTATTTTCTTCTTTTCCTATAACAAAAATAAGGGTTCAGCCCCTATATTTTTTGAATTTTATTTTCCATCTTCCTTTTCCTCTCATGAATATGTTGATTTTCTATACTTTAATATGAAATATATAATTTTCTTTGAAAATCATGAATAATTATTAAAGAAATATGGTTATGGTACCTAGGGAGCTACCCTAAGATCTATGTTTTTAACATAAAAAATCCATCACCTAAGCGACTAGGCGCCCCCCAGTTGCCTAGCCTCGCCTTGGCACCTTGAAAACTATGCATTGTATATGATGATATGATCTGTACATAGTTAAAGGCACACTTCCTTTTGTATATGATTGAGGGCTACTCACCCTCCTCTTTTTTCTTTTTTCTTGATAAATTACTCACCCTCCTCTTTCTATTAATACAATACATTTCTTAGTACTTATCAAAAAAAATGAAAGACTCATTGGGAAACCCAAGCCCACCTGCATTAGGAGCATTTGGAGACGGTTTTAGTGAGGTGATTCAGCACATTCAGGATTAGTTGGGTCAACAAACCAAGAAAGGGAGGAGTTGCTATCATTGATTCAAAGTCTCAATTTGGGAGTGCTTAAAAATAAGTGCTTATTTAAAAGAAGTGCTTATTTGGGCCATTAAGCACTTATTGGTATTTGAGAAATAAGCCCGAAATAAGTGCTTATTTTAAAAATAAGAGCTTATTTTATAAGCCCAAATTTCAAGCTTTTTTAAGTGCTTATACAATAAGCACTTATTCAGTTTTTTTCTTCCAAAATTATCCATAGTTGAATTTTAAAATACCACTTATAAAATTATCCCTAGTTGAACTTTATGAAAGCACTTTTATAAAAGCACTTTTAAAAAAGTACTTTTATGAAAGTACTTTTGTGAAAGCATTTTTACAAAAGCACTTTTGTGAGCACTTTTTTTAAAGTACTTTTACAAAAGCACATTTACGAAAGCACTTCTATGAAAGTAGTTTTACAAAAGCACTTTTACGGAAGTACTTTTACGAAAGCACTTTTATGAAAGTACTTTTATGAAAGTACTTTTATGAAAGCACTTTCTAAAATGCTTTCATAAGGTGCTTTCATAAAGTACTTTTGCAAAAGTGCTTTCATAAAAGTACTTTCGTAAAAGTGTTTTCATAAAAGTGCTTTCGTAAAAATGCTTCATAAAAGTGCTTTCATATAAGTTTGTTTGTGTTTTTATAAAAATGCTTTCGTAAAAATGCTTTCATAAAAGTGCTTTCAAAGGGTATATTTTGAAAATTTGAAAGAAAATGAAGGACAAAATAGTCACAAATGCTTATTTAAGTACTTATTAGAGAAAAAGACTACCAAACGCCCAATATAAAATAATGGCTTATTTTAAAAAAGTTGGGTGCCAAATGCAAATAAGTGCTTATTTGAATAAGCACTTATTTTTAACGTAAGCACTCCCAAACATGACCTTAGATGATGATAGGAAAGGCGAGGGATTGGAGTATATGGCAAGAAGACCCTCAAGACACATTCATAAGATCAAAGACCTGACTTCATTGGCTTCCACAGTTAAGCTCTCATTCCATCTGGTTTCAAGGCTTTCCAACTCCAGAGGTAATGGCACCATGGAAGGAGCATTGAGGCCTGAGCTAAATCAGGCATTGCTCTTGTATATTCTGCATTAGGGAGGTTATATAGTGTTTTGGCCAACCCCTGAGTCTCATATTATTAGAATACATCATTTTTTAAATAGTGAAAAAAATAATTTATCATTTAAACAACAATGCAATATATATTTAAACAACAATGCAAAAATAATTTATCATTTAAACAACAATGCAGTGAAAAAAATAACTCTTTCTTCATATTTTCTTATCAGTAACAGGTGAAATTTTATTGAAGAACAAGAATATATATGAAGGCTACACAACAATGCAATATATGTACAACAGGTCCAGCCTGATGATGTGCACACCAACTCCTTGGGAGTATCCAATAAATACACATTTTTTACCAGTAACTTAAACTTCCTATTTTTTGGTAACTTCTTATACTTCCTTTATTACTATATGAAGAAAATATGTAGTATCTAGATGCACTATGCCAAGCATCCCACTATTTTGGGCTAGCCCCACTACCTAATAACCCGTTACCCCTTTTATATTCTGCCTCAAATATATCTTCCAGTCACCCTAGGAATGACCTCCCAAATTCCAAATACAATTGTTCCCTGTTAACCACTTGCAAGGCCAACACATCTGGCATACAATTACACAATCTTTCAGCCTAAGTGAAACTAGCTCATACTTCTCTAGCTAGATGCTTGGTTTCTCTCAAAGTATGTCTGCATTGACATGCTCCCATTCCATTGTTCTTAAGCCACACCATTATTACTTTTGAAAACACACTTTCTCAACTCAAAAGGTATTCTCCCCAAACCAAATCATGTCTGTTAAATTTTTCATTGGCCAAGCAGCCAGCAGATGTGTTGGCAGACTTGGAGTCCAACAAACAGAAATTCCAATGTGTTTATCAGTTATCTCACTTACCAAACTTCTGTAGATTTTCATAGCAATAATCTAAACCCAATACTGACAAACTATCATTCTCTATATAATATCCAAAAAAAAAAATCAATTGTTTCCAAGCATCAGCTATGTAAAAAATTGCACTGTAAGATGACACATGGATTATGTGCCAAGGTTCAAGCTGAATACTTGAATATCTTGAGCCCAATAAATGGAGGGGCTGTCTAGTCTTCCCCATTTCTTTCCAGTAAAGAGGTTGATGCTAGTCAATGGCTTCTTTCAATCAGAAAAATCTTCGTAAACCTTCCAATAGTGTTTCTGGTAGGGTTTATGTACCAAATGCCACAAAAAAAATAAAAATGAAAACTGCATCCATCTAAATATATAATTAATATATACAAAAAGAAAAAAGAAAAAAAGGAAAACGAAACAACAAGTAATCAAAGAGACAATAATTGAAGGATAAGCTAAAGTTTGCATCAAGCATTCATCAATATCCATTTAACAAGGCAGAACCACTATTAACACCTCTAAGATCAAGATCACATAAGTCGTTGGCTAAATAATAGGCTCCTAATATTATACACAACTTATTTTGCAAGACTCCAAGGACTCCTCAAGGCAATCCCAAAAATGGAATTAGTGGAATCAACCTCTACAAAGAAAGGGACCTAATAGCGTAATCAAAAGATAAAATAAATCTGGAGACCTTCGCATTCATTTGAATCTAGGGTTTCAAATTTATCACAAATAAATGCAGTTGGAAACACGATCAATAAGCCAAGCTCAAGAGATTCATTGCCTTGTGCACATTTCACTCCAGGGTTTTAAAGCGCAAGGCAAACATTACCTCTTCAAAAGATGATGCCTCTCTGGAGCTGAGAATAGTCTCACAATTGATTGTAGAACATTACTCATCTTCATCGTTTTCGATTTCAGTGACTTCATAAAACCCACAAATTCCTTATATTCTGCAACAGTAAGTTTTTCTTTGACCTGTAACACACATAAAATTAAACCAGGTTCTCTAACTTTAAATCCATTTCTTAGCATGATGGAGTCCCAACTCAATAAAGCGTTGTCCTAACTATTTAAATTTTGACATTAGTTACAAGAAGTAGCTTTGCATGATAAAGGAATACCAAATAAACCACAAAGCAACAAGCCAACAAGTAAAAGTCTTCTTAGTTTCATAAGTACATGGAAAAATATAGGATCCGGTATGTGAGGCCCAGGCTTAACATTAGGGCCCATTAAATAAATAAGCAACGCTTGGGATTACAATTTAGATAAGAATAGGCTTACACCTGCCCAAAAATTACATCCTGACACATCACCTAGTTGTAGGTAATGCCTTGAGCCTAGATGTTTCAACATGTCTACACTCAAGCAGAATTCAGGCATGGACCACTAACACTGACAGTTAATAGGGCTGGCCAGCCCCATAGAAATATTGGGCCAGAAAGTTATGCTTAAGGCTTGGACTGCACTAACAGACCTAGCAGATCAGATCATTGCTGCAATAACTGAATAACATTATACAAGATAACACATGAATACATTTAACAGAGATGATTTAGTAATTAACAATATCGGACTTGAAACTTTTTGCAAAAACCATATTAGAAGCATCCAAAACATGTTATTTCCTCTCTCTCTCTCTCTCCATACCATGATAACAGTGAGTAAAAGCAAAGGGGAAAAGTTATGGTCAGTGAATCAGTTAAGTTATGAAAGGTGCCCAACCAAAAACAATAAAATGAATAAAGCCACTTAATCATTATTTTCAGAAATTTTACCTGAATCAAAAATGCAGAACCTTTCCTCTCCTCATCATCACAACGTACAGTAGGAATGACACCTTTGTTTTGCATGTCTCTGCTACTACTACTGCTACCAATACCAGTTTCTGCCAACCCACATGTAGAAAGCTGTGTTTGCGTCTCTGAATTATTAGTGGAGTAAGTATAGCTTGATATTGCTATTTTAGCATTATGTAAATTCTCAAGAGAAAGAAAGTTCACAGAATGTCCCATTGCATCAGAATCTATCTCTATTATTTTAGGCTTCTTAGAAGAACAAGGTACAATAAGTTCTGCCATGCTTGATTGCTCATCTTGTGGAGAATTGCAAGTTAAATCTAACACTTCACAGTCTTGATAGTTTGAAGATTTCTTTCCAGAAACCCGCAATCTCTTCTGATTGTAAAACGGATCTTTTAAATGTTTTATGGTTGAAGGAGAATCATGCTTGTGAGTAAGATTTGAGCGGTTAGCAGGAAGGATTTCTCCCAATTGGCTGCAAGTGTTGCCTCTACTAGCTTCAAGTACAGAAGACAATGGCTTTTCGGAGCAATCTTCATCCACTGAAGTAGTCTATGAATGAAAAATCAAAATAAGAAAGAAAAGTCTCCATTTAGAATGTTACAATCAGGATATAAGTCAATGAAAACCACGAGTACTAGACAAAATCCAAATATTACCAAATGAGTAAGAGATGCCAGTAAACAGCTTTGCTGTGGCCTAGTAATCTTCACCTCTTTAGCATTCCCTATAGAAGAATATTTACTGTTATGTTGCAGCCCACAAGGGTAAACAAAATTGAACAGCAGAAAATATTTCCGCAACATATATATATATATTTATGAATTAATGATATTTTATTAAATAGAGATAGAAATAGTACAAGCATGAAGCACCCTAAGAGGAGGCACGAGATGTTACCTCCCCTTAAAGGTATTTCTGCAACATATATTAAGCGGTTGGAGGATAGGCAGAAATAATGTCCCAGTGACCCATCATCAGTTTGTGGATGATATTATCATTTTCTGTGAGGGGAGAGATCTAAGGAGAGTGAGAAATCTAAAGAATCTTATTATATCCTTTGAGTCTGCTTCTAATCTGACAATCGACTTTAACAGAAATTGCATGGTTAGAATCAATTTGGAGGATTGGGAGATAGAGGCTATTTTTTTTTTTGAAGAGTAATGAAGAAAATATTTTATTAAAAAATTTAAAGCAGGTACAATCTGTTCAGGTGTCAAGATGACACCCCACTACAACAATACATCAAAACATCACTCAAGACTGAAATGATTCACATTACAAGCTTGAATCTCACGAATGTCCCAGAAATTCTCTGCAAAATCTGAAGGACTGATTTGCTCGAATTCTTGAAGGGAGAGAGCCCAATTTGTGACAAGTTTGCAAGCCAAAGCACAATCACTTCAATATTTCTTTTTTTTTTTCTTTCAAATAGCCACCTATTTCTTTCCCATCACAGAGACCAGCACACTGCAAAAGAGATGCAGCTCCAAATGATTTTAGCTTTCTTCCTTCCTCTGAATTTTGGCCAAAACAGAGAAGATCTTTGCTGTTGAGGATGGGTGGAGATAGAAGCTATTACAGGCTGCTTAGAGTGTTCCATGTCCTCTTGGCATTTAACCTACCTGGGCCTTCCTCTAGGCGCTAACCCAAAAGAAAGTCGATTCTGGTATCCAAATGTGGAAAAGTTTGAAAAGAGGTTGGCAACTTGGAAGAAGAGTTACATTTCATTAGGGGGTAGAATGACCTTGATTAGGGCTGTCTTTTGATTTATTTCCTCTCGGTATTCAGGATACCCTCAAGGGAAGCTAAAAAGTTAAAAAAAGTGATAGTGAAGAAAGATCATCTTATTAGGTGGGAGATAGTTAGAAGAAGTAAGGAAGAACGGGGATTAAGATTGGATAACTTAGTTCTTAAGAATGAAGCTCTACTAGGGAAGTTGTTATGGAGATGGCCTTTGAAGAGAGAGAGAGATTGTTGCACAAGGTGGTGATTAGCATTCATGGCTGTTCGGAGAATGGTTGGGATGTTGGAGTATCTCGACGGGCAACTCTTGCAACACCCTTGAAGGCGGATCCTTCCCTAATCCTCAGTTTGGTCAGGTGGAACCTTCCATCTGATATTAGCTTGTTGTTTAGTCCATCTACCTTTGAGTGGCACACAAAGAGAGGGGAGAATTATGTGGAAGTGCATCAGAGAAGCTATCTTGTGGATTGTTTGGGAAGAAAAGGAACACCAGAATTTTTTCTAAAAAGGAAAGAAGCTTTTTGGAAGTTAAAGATTGTGTTCTGAGTCTTCTTCTAACAAGGGCAATTTAGTGGTTGAAAACATTAAACCTGTTTGATACCTTTTCCTTTGATGATCTTCGGAGGAGTTCGTTAGTAATGGCTAATGCTTCTACCAAGAAGAACAGATATTTGGTAGAATGGATGCCACTTGGGGAGGAGTTTATTAATCTGAACTTTGATGGGAGTAGCAGAGGTAACCTGGACCTTTGGTTATAGGAGGAGTTCTGATAAATAAAGACAGTAGTATCATCTCTTTATAATCAGGTCATGTGGGTCTAGGAGACTCTAAGGGCTGAACTGCTTGCTTCTGTACAAGAATTCCAGCTTGCAAACCAGCTAGGGATAGAGCATTTGCTTATTGAAGGGGACTCTCAAGTGGTGGTAGAGATCTCCTTGAAAAAAAAATCAAATGGCTAACTAGGAATACGACAGTTAGAGTCCAAGGGGTAGGCAGATCAGCAAACACAGTGGCTGACTCACCTGCTAAACAGGGGGTCTCTCAGGATTCTTTATTTTGGGACACCATGTAACTTAACTTATCTTCATTTGAATTTGTAACTCTGTGATCAATCCTTAAAGGAAAGGTTGCATCTCATGCCTTTCCTTAGGTTGCCTGTAACTCTTATCTGCTGGATTAATAAAATGTTTACTCATTTATCAAAAAAACATATATTAATAAAAAAAGAAAACCACAAGGAAGTAAAGATAAGTTTATTGGAGAAAAAAGATTTAAAAAAATGCAGTGTATTGTGAGATAGATCTTGCACCAACTTAAAGTTGCTAGTCCAAAACCCGTTAAAATCAAGAAACACTTTGTTAGGAGCCTGGTTAATAAATTAATTGATCAAATAAGTAAACCAAAGCTGGTTAAAATTTTAAATCATTTCCATACCAATACCCTATATCAATCAAGAAATTAACCATTCTCTTTGATTTGACCATGGCTTGTCTAGCTTTCTTTAAGATACTTTTTTTTTATTGGAAACGGTGACTTTCATTAAGGATATCAAATTACATCTTGCACTGTCAACCACCCAGACAAAGAGCGTTGACCCCAAAATGACATCAAGAATTACAGTACAGCTCAAAAGAAGTTTTCCCTAAAGGTCCCCTGTTTTACTAAGCTATCTGCCACAGAGTTTGCTGATCTCCTTAGCCATTTGAATGTTACTCCAACTTCCCTTGCCAAGCAGATTATTTCCTTTATTTGCTGTCTAAACTTCCATACACCCAACTTCTTTGTTTGCAGCCACCCTATTAACAATTTAGACTCCCCTTCCACCTCCAAGTTCTGAAACTCCCATTGCTTCGCAAATCTCAGGCCTTGTAGTAGAGCCAAAATTTCAGCTCTCATAGAGTCTCCCACTCCTATGGGACTAGAGTATAGTGACACCATTCTGCCCTCCCCATCCCTAAAGAATCCCCCAGCTCCCGAAGGTCCTGGGTTACCCATGGAGCTTCCATCAAAATTTAATTTTACCCTTTGTTGTGCTGCAGGTGTCCAAGAAGGCTGAGGGACAGGCTGTTTGGTTGAAGAGTTTGCCACTGCTGACCATCCCCTTGGTGTATCATCCACTGAAAAGTCTTTAAATAAGTCACTTACTTTCAGCCAATGTATGACTTTAATGGCTATGCAGTCAATAATTTGTTCTGCTGATCTTTGTGCCCCCTGGAATATTCTGTTATTCCTTTCTTCCCATAAGGACCAAAAATGGCTGCTCTTGTTGCCCTCCACATCACTCTCCCCCTTTTCTTTAATAGTAGGAAGAAGCTTGGGTTGAAAAGACTTGTCACATCTGGGGGAGAAGTCCACCTGCAGCCAAATAAGGAAGAAAACCAATTCCACACACAAGAAGCAAAGGGACAAGAAGTAAACGATGTGCAACTGTCTCACCATTTCCCAAACAAAGGCAACAAACATGAGGGGAGAGGCAATGATTTGGCCTTCTTTTTTGTAAATTATCCAGAGTATTAATTTTCTGGAGCACCACCTCCCAACAAAAGGCTCTTATTTTTGAGGGTACAGGACTACACCAGACTTCCTTTGTAGGAAAGGAGCCTCCTGGGTGCGAGGAATGAAGAAGGGCGGAGAAAAAAGAGGCACAGGTATAGGAGCCAGAGGGGGACTCTAACCAGATCCTGCTGTCCTGGCAAGAGAGGTCCAGGAATGCAATATTAAGAAGGGAAATTAATTCATCTACTAAGCCCATTTCATGCTCCCTTAACCCTCTCCTTAATCCTAGATCCCAAGAGTTTTCATTAACAAGCATTGAAGAAATCACTTTCCCTTTGTTGAGGGACAAAGAAAAAATAGGTGGAAATCTATCTTTGAAAGGAATGTCCCCAAGCCAGATATCCTCCCAGAAATGAACTTTGTTACCCATACAAGCATCATACCTGACCAGCTAAAGTAAAGACGGTAGCAAATTGTGAATTCCTTTCCAAGGAGAAGCCTTTGTTGCCCTAGGATCAAGGACAACGTCCCATCCGTTGTTTGCCATGCCATGGATGCTTACAATTACCTTATGCCATAAGTTCTCTTGTTCCAAAGGAAACCTCCATAGCCATTTACCCAACAATGCCAAGTTCCTAAGTTTAATGTTTCCTAACCCTAGGCCTCCACTATCCCTACTCCTTAAAACCACCTCCCACTTTACCAAATGATCTTCTTTTATCCCCTGGCTCCCACAAGAAGTCTCTCATCAATTTCTCTAATTTATTGGCCACTTTTAAGGGGATCCTAAAGGTTGAGAGGTAATAGACTAGCAAATTAGTCAATGTTGACTTTATTAGGGTTATTCTACCCCTTAGAGAAATGTAGTTTCTCTTCCAGCTAGCAAGCCTTTTTGTGAATCTTTCCACTATCGGATCCCAAAAGCTGACAGAAGTCGGGTTCCCCCCACCCCCAAGGATAGACTAAGGTACTGTAGAGGCCACTCACCTACTTCACATCGCAACAAACTAGCTAGGCTTTCAACCTCTCCTCTCTCCTTATTTAACCCTGCTACACAACTTTTGCTCCAATTTACTTTGAGGTTGGAGAACTTTTCAAAAAGGGATACCATCCTTTGTAAACTTATCAATTCCTCCCTTCCTCCTTCGCAAAAAATTAGAATATCATCTGCAAATTGTAAATGGGTAACCACCACATTATTCCCTCCAATTCTCCAACCTCATAGTAAATTGTTGGCATCAGCCCTTGAGATCAAATCACTAAACACATCTGCTATTAGAGTGAAGAGGAAAGGGGAAAGGGGGTCACCTTGTTGAAGGCCCCTTTTAGCTAGAAAGAAATCTCTGGCAACTCCATTAACCAAAATGGAATAATGACAGGAGGAAACACAGCCCCTTATCCATTTGCACCATCTCGCTCCAAAACCTCTCAACCTTAACACTTCTAGAAGGAAATCCCAATCCACCAAATCATAGGCTTTCTCCAGGTCCAATTTGCAAACAAGCCCTTTTTCCTTTCTCCGTTTTTTAATCTAGAAGGAAATCACAACCTTGGGTTTACCCGATATCGCTTTTAGAATCCAGCTATTTTTTCCTGACTTGCCACAGATTCATAGTGGCATTTCTCTTACGTATCTGTGGTGGAGTAAGAGATCATGAAAGCCCGGATATCTATTCTTTAGGGAAGTTGTGTGCATAGGCAAGCAGTGAGTCAATTGATCATCCATTCCTTTGTTTAAGTTTCAAACAAGCTTTCATAGTTTCATGTCCCTCATTGAATCTAGGTGGAAGCTATTTAATGATCCTTTCCTTTGTTTGCTTCCAATCTTTTATATCCCCCAAACCAAAAAAATAAGAGAGGCTATGTAATGGTGAACAAGGAAACTGGATTTGCTCCTCACACCCACCTCACATCACATTGCAGCCACACATCAGGAACATCTCCCGTACTTCTATATTGTCATTCATGGGAAGATGTTTCCAATGCACAGCTGGATGTGCTGTGAGGTGAGTGTGAGGAGCAAAGTGAAGTAATTTTTCATATTATTGAAGGATTTGGCATTTCAGTTGATATTTCTTTAAGCAAAGGGAAAAGATGATCACTTTGCATTGCAGCAGATCTCTTCCGTCACAACAAAAGCAATTTTTCTTTTGTTTTCCCCTCTATGACTATTACTAAGAAAAGAAGCTGTGCAACATATTGGAATACTACTATATATGACAAGTCTCCATTTACACTGAATTTCCAACATATTTGTGCCATCATCTCTATCCTTTGGTATCTAAAAATGATAGTATAACAGAAAACCATGCATTCATATTTCCCTTATCCAAGACTTGCAATCTCCCCAACCACCCAGAATATTGCATTTTAGAGAACTTTCCATCATAAAGCATCCCCTTAAGTTGTATTTGCACATACAAACGCCCTAATAAAAGATAATTACCATTCGTTCAACTTCAACTTGCCACACCTAATAGGCCCAGAGGCACTGATAGAATCTCCCCTTTTTACATGTCACAAAGGACCTTCACACTGTTATTTTGCAGAGCTCAGCAAGTTTAAATTCTCCCTTTTGCCGAGTTTCTTCCAAGATATTTTAACAACACACTTTGACATCTAAAACTGTTAAAGAGGTTACTTCATCAAACCATGATAAGTACAGCACCATTAAGAATATTAAAGGCTTATAGATACAGCCATATAAATCTAGAGACAAGAATAGACAAAACAACAAAGAAATAATATACATATAGTTGAATGAATGCATGTACATATGCATGAAAAATGAAAATAGAAGATTGGTAAAATTCATTGGCTGGATACTCAACCCATGTTTTTGGTTTCTGTCAATTTTAGCTTTGCAAGACTGGATTTGGCTCCACCTCGAAAAAATCGAGTCAATGTGAAAACTACATCCCCAAATTTAGAGAAACACTGCAAGATCATTACAAGATCATTACTAGAGTAAGTACATTGTTTCATAAAGTGAGGAAAAGCAAAAGGTAAAAGCAAAACTGACAAATGCACCTTGATATGGGGCTGAAGCCAAAGTGACATTTGACATTGACGACTTTGATGTGCAAACCTGATTACACCTTGGAAAATTAACCAACTAATAACAAAATAAACAAATTGCAGAATGTCAAAATACTAAGGGTGACTACATCAGAAACAAGCACTCAGATGACTCAAAGAGAACAGAAATATGTTTGATTTATGGTATCTCTCCTCCATTTAAGTGCAATGGCAATGTTAAAGATAAAGGGGCAGGTGGGGGAAAGAGGAAATAACAATAATTCAATAAATAACTATTATCTTCAAGAATATTTATAAAATAACAACAATAGTAGTAGTAGCAGTACTAGTACTAAAAGACCAGTACTATTTAGGCCTGTCAATGATACCCAAAAATCTGCAACCCATTCCAACATCCAATCCGATCATCTCAGATATGGAAGATGTGTTTATGTAATTGAATCAGAATTTGGATTTTGCAATCAGCATGCAATTATAAAAATATTTTCATACATTATATTATATATGAACTTATATATATAATAAATTCAGTATGTTATATTTGCATTAATTTATTATATATTGTTGAGTTGGGCATAGTTGTTTTTATTCTTATTTTAAGTTATTTAGTTAGGAAGTTGTTGGGCTTTAGGCCCATTAGTTTATGTTTTTAAGTTGTGATTGTTCAGCTACATTAGTGGCCGCCCTACTAAGGGCAGCCTTGTAATATCTCATCCTTTAAGTTAAGTAAAAATTATAATGAGGGGTTGGCGGCTAGGGTTAATCTAAGAATCTTGGTTGACTTCCTACTCTTTTCTCCTCCTCTTTTCTTCTCTACTGCTGAAATCTTCATCTTCCTCTTCTTTCCCTTCACAAGGAATTCAACTAAATCTGCAATCAGTGATTTCTACTTGGTATCAGAGCAGGCCGAAGGTTCCTTGAGT